ATTTTAAAGTCTTTTTAAAAGTATACAGAAGAAGCCTTGTTTTCTTTTGCCATAAAGAATATTAGTGTAACAACTGGGAAATTTGAATAGGATTTCTAAAATAGTATAGCATTGTATCAATGTTAATTTTCTGTTTTTGATAACTATACCCTGGAAAAAAGAATGTCCTAGATTTTAGACAAAAACACATAGAAGTGTTTAGAGATAACAAAGCATCTTGTTGGTAACTTATTGTCAGTATTTCAGAAAAAAATACTTGCACATCTATGAGAGAGAACATGAGAGAGCAAACGTATACAACATTGATGGATCTGGACGAAGGATGTAGAGGAATTCTTTGTACCATTTTTTTTAATTTATTGATAAATCTGAAATGATTTCAAAATGATAATTTTCTATTTAAAAGCAGGTACCTATATATGAAAAGGGAAAACCTCTCTTTGCAAAAGCATAATCAGTTGCACATCTGGAGAATTTGGCTTGAAAGCAGTCACTAGCTTTTAATAGTAATATCTCATGTTAAATGAATAGAATTGGGGTTTTTGGGGGTTTTTTTGGGTTTTTTTAGTGTAGGCAGCTTTCTCCCTTCTGCTATGACCACACACACACACACACACACACACACACTCTCACACTCTCTCTCTCTCTCTCTCTCCCCCTCTCTCCCCCCCCCACACCCCCCATCCTTTGTAGCATATACCAGGAGATAACCCTCTTTGCTTGCTCAGTAGACCACAGTAGATTAGAGAAGAAAGCTACTTAAGATAGTTGTAGGTCCAAATCACTCTAATGTAGACAGGACACTGAGACCTTGAAAGCTAGACCTGCCTAAACTATTAATAGGCAGCTGCTCAGCGGCGAGAATGGGAGTTCAACCCAATAGCTCATGTACACCCCTCCTCCTTCCACAAAAGTTTCAAGGTCATGGAGCACCAAGATTAGGACCCTGGCCTTTCAGTTCTTACTCTAAGAACCTTTTTCCTGTAATTCAACTCCCCTGGTTTATTTGTTTATAGGATTTCACACAAAAGGAAAATGAAGCGTTTACTCACAATTTTTCAAAAGGATCCACAAGGAAGTTTCCTTTAAATAGTAAACATCCCCATAGAGCTTTCAAACGGTAATTTTATTTTTTTAAAAACCAGCTTACATGCAACTTTGCCAAGTGACTCTTCCTTAAGGTCTCATTTCACTCAGTGTCACAGGAATTGCGCTGAAATACCCCATCAGATGGGCATGTAAAACGTGATTCATTTCGAAAGACATTTCTAGAGCACCCGTGGGTTGCCGGATTCAAACCACGGAGAACCCAGAGATGAATTCGCAGCTCTGCCCGACCTCAGGAAGCACAGTGTCTAATAAAAGAGACTTTGTAAGACCAGCAAAGCCAGTTGCAGTACGTAACAAGAGAGTTAAGTGTAAATACTAGGGAAGCTCAGAGAAAGAACCTATTTTTCTGGTATGCGTGTAGGGGGGGTGAGGGATGTAAAGGAAAAGAGAGCTTCCGCGTGAAGGTGCAGCTCACCTGGGCTTTCATTTCAGTGTTATGCAATAAAGCAAGTTTATCAGTGAAGTAAGCTGATCAATAAAGGAACGACACTGGCTCCTAGAAGGCCCCACCAAAAATCAATACTGGAAACAAATGCTGATTCCCAAATTTAAGCTGATTCCATAGTTAAGTCTATTCCAGGAGAATTATGCTCTCCTTGCTCTCTTGGTAGACTAGATAGATAGATAGATAGATGATCGATAGACAAACAGATAGATAGAAGCTAGATAGACATGTATACATATATATATATACATATATACATATCACATATACACACAATGTTTTTCTTTTAGAAAATTCTTTATTCTGAAAAGGAAGCCCAGTGGTTTCCCATATCGTTTTTCATTCTGTAATTCAGTGTAACTAGCTGGCATTTATTTGACTCTTATTGTGTGCTAGGCACTGCACTAAGCCCTTCTTTGTGTACATGCAGGGGTCACTGCCACCCTGTGAGACAGCTACTATTATCTTTCCCATCGTCAAAAAAAAAAAAAAGAGTGGAGGACCAGAGAGGTTAAGCAAATTGCTGGAGGCCACCCAGCCAGGAGGAACCAGAGCCAGGATTTGAACTCCACTCTGTCTGGCCGCAAAGCCTGTACTTCACCCAGGTGCACTCTCTCCATAGTGCCTGAGACGTGAACAGGGAGAGCGTCTGAAACCCTAGGGGGAGGTGTGAGAACTGAGAAGGCAACCTGTCCTCACTGGGAGTAGCCGCTGATTTACTGAAGTCAGTGTCCTGAAGTTGGGGTCTAGTAAAAGAAGGGGGATCCCACTTCCCTAAGAACCAACCCCCCTGGGCTCCTTGCCTGAACTTCTCCAGAGCCAGCGCTGTCTAGAGGCCAGCCACCTTGCCCAGCTCCGGCACCCTCATTTGGCTTGACATTATCAAAATCCATTTAGGTTTCAACAGTAGATTAGCGGGCTCATGGGTGCTGATTTCCTGCTTTTTCATATCCTGTCATTAACCCAGCAACCCTGAAAGCCCAACAGACATGAAGAAAAGCCCGTCTTATTAAGTTTAAAGATGACTCATTTCTTCTAAATTCTATTTTATTTTTAATGCATTTCTTTAACTTATTGCCACTGTATGACTGCTGGGGTTACTTTTGGTCACTGTTGGAGGACCCTAAACTATTCTTCCCCGGGGGTCTTTTTTACTGTATTTCTTCCTTACTACAGCCTTTTAATTATATCTCTTCCCCCCAAAGGCCTTAATTTGGGGGGAGGAGGGAGTCTGTCAAAAGCAGCATTTTTAAGCACAAATTTGTTTCAAATTCATAATAGAGTTTCTGATCAACTTGTGATAATAAGTGTTTCCCCCTCAACTTGTCATTATTTCATCAAAATCAACACTGAATTTAGGCTTAGAGCTTTATAGATAATAATAATAATAATAATAATAATAATAATAATGGCATCTCAGTTTTATTTAGTATTTATTTTGTGCCTAAAATTATTCTAAAAGCTTTGCATGAATTAACTCATTAAATCTTAATAGCAATCCTATGACATAATAATAGTGTCCCAACTATACAGATGAAGGAACTGAGGTCCAGAAAAGTGATATGCTTCGCAAGGATCAAAGCTGGGATTTGAACCAAGGCAGTTTCAGCCCAGAGTCTCCGCTCTTACGTACTATACAGTATCCCTCCGCTTTGCAGGGAAGTATTCCATGTGTCTGAGCCAACATAAAAAGGTTAGAGAAGTCATCTAGTCCCCATCTAAAGCTCTGAACCACTCAGGACGTAGTAGTTGTTTCTTTTCTTCTTAACGATGTTATGTGACGGAAGCTTCCAGACTTCCCTCAGGAGCCCGTTCCTTAGTTTTATTATCCCAGGGGCCAAGAGTTTCTTCTTAAGGTCCAAACCAGTGTTCCGCCTACTTTATTTTAAGCCCCTGTTGACTTTTTATTTGGTCCACTTTTGAGCTACATACAAATGAATCATCACTCTTGTTCAAGAAAAAAGGGAAAAAATAAGTTCAGACCCTCAAGTCACTCTGTGGTTTTCTTTTATTATTTAGAGTTGGAAAACCTCAGAGATCCACAGATGTTACCTCTTCATTTTACAGATGGGGAAACGGGCACCCAGGTCATTTACAAGTCTCATCTTGGTGCAGTGGCTAGACAGAAATAAATGCCTCTGCACTCAGGCGGCTCCGCTAACCTTTCATGCCGTCCTCACTCAGCAATCGCATAACCTCTCCTGACCTTCTAAACCATCTGCAAGGTGGAGTCGCCAAATATAGATAAATATTTTCGGAAGAGCCCATCCATTACAGAATCAGAGGGGAGCATGCTTCCCATCCTTTGCCCATCGGGCAAACTTTTCATATCCACAAGGTCATCAACATGCTCAACTGAACAGTGAAAAGACCCTTGAAACAAAAAATGCCTTTAATTCTTTCTGTATCTGGTTTCAGTTGGTTTAAAAGTGCTCAAGAACATAGGGGATTGATTTGATTTGATTTTTTCAAGTTAAGCATCCATTTGAAGGAATTGCGAATGACCTTAGTAAAACGAGACTCTACCCCGGCTTTATTCCCATTTCACACACGAGGAGAATGAGGCCCTGAGAGAGGTCAGGTGACTTGCTCTTCTTGGACACCTACCAGAAACTCCCAGCTTCTTCTTAATGCTTAATTCTGTGTTCCCAAAGTCACCCTTGGAAGTGTAGGACGTATTGTTTGGTTTATTGTTCTTTAAAAATCTTCTTTCAAAATAAGCATTTCTGGAACTCCTGTTAAAATTCTGAAGGACGCTGAGTGTGGGCAATGGATATTTGCCATATAAGCAATTTCAAATCATGTCGCCACGATGCGTCACTGTCACTGTGAGAGAGGTGTGGTTTCTGCATGGCTCTTAGATCCATTCCTCTTGCTCAAGGAAGGGGTCACTCCCAATACTAGGTCAGCCTGAGGTCAAGTCCCATTTTCTATTGAGTCATTGTATTTACTTTGGACCAATTTTTGTTTACTGTTGTTTCTTTTCTTTTTTTTAATTTATGAAAATGTCAGAATATATTGGATTCATTTGTAGCTGGAAAGAATAATTAAAGGCTACAAGAATTAAATGTGGTGCCAAATTAATATCACTCTCCTCCCTTCCCCTGCTGATCATTTTTACACCTCAGAGGCACATTTGGGGCTGTTGGAAGCTTTACGTGTATTTAGCAGACAACAGCTCTTATTATATTTGATCAGTAAAGAGCAGTCACAGAAGTTTTAGAAATCATCACGCCAATATTTCAGATGCCCTGGGGTAGGAGTTTATAGCTTTGTTATTTAATACCTAAATGTTTTAAGCTCTGACTTAAAGAGAAACTTGCCATGAGTTTAATCTTAATATGTTTTGCTTTGTTTTTAAATCCCGGCATATCATTAAACAGAAATGTAGAGCTGACTGATATATACAGGTGTCACTGACTTCCTACCAATTCCTGTCTTCCAGTGCCCTGGTCATTGAAAAACAGCAGCATCGACAGTGGAGAAGCAGAGGTGGGTCGGCGCGTGACCCAGGAAGTCCCACCAGGCGTGTTTTGGAGATCACAGATTCACATCAGTCAGCCCCAGTTCTTAAAATTCAACATCTCCCTCGGGAAGGACGCTCTCTTTGGCGTTTACATAAGAAGGGGACTTCCACCGTCTCATGCCCAGGTATGACCATGCTTGATATCACCATGAGTTTAAAACTATGCCACTTTGCACCAACTAGGACGTCTATAATCAAAAGATAATAACAAGTGTTGGCAGGGATGTGGGGAAGTTGGAACATCAGTACCCTAGTAAATTGGTACGTGGCTGGTGAAAATGTACAACGGTGTAGCCGCTATAGAAAAGAATTTGACAGTTCTTCAAAAAGTTAAACAGAATTACCATATGACCCAGCAATTCAACTTCTACGCATAGACCCACAGAGAACTGAAAAGATTATTTCTCATAAAAACAAACACACAGATGTTACAGCAGCATTACTCATAATAGCCACAAAGTGTAAACAACCCAAATGTCCATCAACTGATGACAAACTGCAATATGTCCACACAATGAAATATTGTTCAAACATAAAAAGTAATGAAGTGTTGTTATAAGCTACAACATGGATGACTCTTGAAAGTATTATGCCAAGTGAAAGAAGCCAGATGCGCAAGGCCACATATTATGTGATTCCATTTATATGGTTCAGACGAGGCCAATCTATAGAGACAGAAAGATTGGTGATTGCCGGGGGTCGGGGGGAGGAGGCGGAATTGGGACTGACTGCTAGTAGGTATGGGGTTTCTTTTTGAGGTGATGGAAATGCTCTGAAATTAGATAGCTGGTTGCACAACAGGGTGAGTGTGCTAAAAACGAATGAATTGCAGAATGGTGCAATTTATGTTATATGAATTGCATTTCAAAACAAAAGATAATGTCCCTCCCTGATGAAGTCAGCTTTGCTAGACCCGGAGGTGAATCCTTGGGTACTTTCTTTTCAGGTGTTCTGGTTACTGGATGAAGTTGTTAAAATATCACATACACAGTGAGACATCCCTCTATATTTGAAAAGAGTGATGTAGCATTAAACGAGAGTCAGCAGTGGTTTCTCTCCAACTTCCCTGTCCTGAGTTCCTGGGGGAGGGAGTCTTTGGCACGTGACAGTGAGGCTCTTCCCAGTATTGAGAGGGAAGAGATTCGATTACATGATGGATTTCCTTGTTTTTCCTCTCATCCCTCCTTTAATTTGTCCTGGTAGAGATTTTACTATACACACTACTGGGATAAATTAACACCCTACTAGCTTGGTTTTCTTTTCCAGTAAGTGTTGGATATCCTGAGGAAACCCAAGTTGGGCTTTCCCGCCTTGCTTGCTTTCAAATCCAGCAAGTACATAAAGAACTATGTTAAGAAAATACTCCGGTAGAAGGAAAACATCCTTAACCGCACATTATATCCAGTTAAGGCTGAATTCAAAATGTGTTGGAAAGGTATTTATCTAGAAAATTCAATTGGAAGAATTTAGAGCTTCAAACCCATTGGCAAATATAAAGCAAGGAGGCCACCATTTCTTTGTCTTTAGCTCATGGCAGACATTGCTAATCGATGGCTGCACGTTTCCCCCCTGAGCTCAATGCACAGAGACATCCAACAGAACCCTCAAGGCAGCCACTAACGATTCAACGTTGGCTCTGAAGATGAAACTTATTTGCAATCCCATCTTCACAGCCTGAAATGATCAATATAAGGGACTTAAAAGGACTATTTCTTTTTGGATAGGGAGGGCTGTGGAGGTTTTCATTACCATTCACAGCCATGCTATAGGGACCGATATGGCAAGTGGTAATCAATACGACCTCCATGCATTCATCCAGAAAAACATGTATTGGTCTAGGCACTGATTAACCAGAGAAGAGTTAACGTAGCCCTGACCAAGCAGAACTCCTTATACAAACGACACATCTGCTCTTCAAAGAGTTTCTCCTCTAAAGAAAGAGACTCAGCTGGGAGGAGTCCCTGAGGCATTTCTGTAACTTCTGGCCAGGAGGGGTGTGGCACTGCCCTGGGAAGTTATGCAAATTGTGAGGTGGCCTCTTTGACCTTCAGGCTCCACGGATTCTATTGTAGCATAACTAAGGGTTTGCAATGGTGAAATATGCCGTTTGGTATTATTCGAGTTAAGTGTGAACGTGCCTTTGTGTAGAGCTGAGTGTAACTTTCCCCTCAGTCAATTAGATGCAAGGAGCTTTACTGGTTAAAAACACTTCCTCTCCGGCAGTTGTTTCAAAGAACCATTATCCCCCTTCACTTGCATGCTCTGAGCAACTGCTATCATGGAAAAGCCAGCGGACGTGCCAAGTCAAGTAGGTGCATCTCTGTACCTGCGTGATAGTGGACAGCAGGCAGGAACACGCTACCCAGGTTCCATGCTATTCTGACAAGACTGAAACCCTCCATGACAATGTCTTTTCTTCTTTTGTGGCTACACCACACTGTCCATCTCCTGCCAAGCCAGTGATTGTTCTAGTGATCGTCCTCTCAAAATAGCTCTACTCCAGGGACAGTCCCATATTTCACGGGAAAAGAAATGAATAGGCGTGGGCTGATATGCACTGAGGGTTTCAGTCCAGCTGCCAATTTGGGAGCTTAGTGTGCGTGGGAGGGTCAAGTAAGTGACACAGCGCAGATGTTTGGAATTGCACAAGACAGGTACAATATAGGGGCGCTTCTTAGAAAAAGGGAGAAAGGAAAAAAATGACTCTCTACACATTCTCACATTCATTCGCTGTCATTACATGCATTCATGTCCACTTGATGAGCTACATTTCCTCGAGGAGACGGTGCTTAGCTCCTTGCAAGGACAGGTGACTAACTCATTATAGAATTTCTCATCTATTGGCATATCCTATCAAGGAACATAAGTTCTATAGGGATTGGCAGTCTAGCCAAGGTGACTCATTCGAGCTGGAAAGTGAGAAAGAGAAAGAGCTGGGGAGGGGAACGAATATGAAATTCTGTTGGTTGTGTTGCATGAAATGGCTATGCTTAAATTTTATTGAGTATCAAGCTCTGACCAAGAGCCTACAAGGTTTAGTATCCATGTCCAGGGATATTAACTACAGAGAGAATCCTTTCTGCTTAAATTTCCCAAGAATCAGAGTGTGTCCCAGGTGACTTTGTGAAAGTGGCTAAACACAGGGATAGAGGCACCGTGGCATAGGGGAGAAAGTCCTGGAATAGAGGCAGAGCTGAGAATGGAAGCCCTGCTGCATACTAGCCAGGTGACCTTGGACATGTCCCATAACCTCTCTTAGCCTCAGTTTCCTCGTCTACCTGTGTTACCTGCCTTACAGTGTTATAATCACACAACAACAGCAACAAAGGTAGGATGAGAAAACATTTTACAAACGAAAGCACAATATAAAGATATCATATGCAAGTGTTTCACTGTATTAAGAATTGTCACACCAATAAGCTTTAATTAAAAAAAAAATCTAAAAAAAAGAAAGAAAGAAAGAAATTCTGCATGGCCCTAGCAAATACTGTATAGAAATAGGCAATTATGTAAATGCAGTTTTTAAAATAAAATTAATTTTTTAGCTTTTTCTTCTTATTAAAGAACAAACTGTTTCATTAAAGAAAAAAATTTAAACACAGATAAACAAAAGGAATAACGTAAAAACAGCCATAATTTGAAAGCAGTCCCCTTTTGCTAAATGTTTACATAGTATTTTTGATATAATAAAACTTATCAGTTGTAGGGGAAAAAAAAACAACTCCAAATTTGAGTAGCTTAAAACAACAGAAGCTATTTCTTGCCTATTCTGTATCCGTGGTTCTCAACCAGGGGCAATTGTGCCCCACCCTGGAGACATTTAGCAACATTTGGGAATATGTGTGGCTGTCACTCGAGGAAGAGGTTGCTCCTGGCAGCCTAGTGGGTATATCCTGGAGATGCTGTTAAACACGCACAGGACAGGCCCTACAGCAAAGACTCATCCCGCCCAAAATGTCCAAAGTGCTGAGGTTGGGAAACCCTACTTCATATGTTCATTTTCGGTGACATTGGACTTTGCTCAATGTCAGCCTCATGCAAGGACACAGACCTGTGGAGCCTCCCTACCAGGAACGTGACTCTTCCCAGTAGCAACGGAAAGAGAAGGTGGTGAATTACGTGCACATATCCCTAAGAACTCCATTTGTAAGTGACACGTATCATTTAAGCTGTTCTCATGTGGACCAAAGCAAGTCATATCCTGACTTCATTGGGCCAGGAAGTACAATCGTACAAGGTCACTGAGCTGAGCGGTACTAGGTCCAGCAGTGAAAAGCCCTCATGACTTAGAGCAAAATGCAGGATACCTGTCCTCCTGGCTCGTCTTCGCGCACACCCTGAGTTCTTTTCCCAAAAGTAACCCTTCGGGATGTTGTACGAATTGCCAGACTGTCCTTCTGAAAGTTTCCACCAGTGGCAGTGTGTGGTTGCCCATTTTGTTTACTTGAACCCTTGCACAAACTGGGTATTATCATTGTTTAAGCTTTGTCAATTTGAAAGGCAGATATTAGGTTGTCTTTGAAATGCAGCATTTTGATATCCTGCATTGCATTTTTTAAAACCTAGACAAAAAAATAAAAAAAAGAAGACTTGCGCTAAGCCAGTCATAACCCCCCAGCTTGAATTCTTATGGGGATGGTGTGTGTAAGGAAACCTAGTGCATCTTGCCAAATAGTTGAAAGTCTACAGTGTCAGACTCACTCAGCCCCAGTTCTAGAGAGGGAGCCGATGAGTCTTTCACAAAGGAATAATAAGCTGACCTGGCTACCGTGCTAGGCATCAAAGGAAACCTCAGAGACTGTTGCTGCGGGTCAGGCTCTTGGGTGGTTATAAGGCAGTGAGCAAGTTTGTTTGACAGTTCATCACTGACTGCTGCTGATATGTCAAGCGAAGTGAAATCCTCTGTGAGAACAAGTCAATAATGGGCAAATTAGGTGCATGATTAACCGAAGACAACAAGACGCCGTTACCGCTTGGGAGCCCTGCCGAGACGTCACCTTCTCCACGGTCCTGTTTAGCAAATATTAAAAATGCCTATTTCATCACTCTGGCTGATGGAGCCAAGAGCCCAGTGGCTTCCAGAGGCAACTTGAGAGCACAGGGCGGGCTAAGGGCGCCAGGGGGT